TGACAAATCTAAACCCAAATTTTGATAAAATTGAGTAGGCTGGGTAAGCTATTTGCACATTTTGTGATGCTTTAAACATGAAGCAGAGAACAAGCTGTTTACTTAAAAAGTCACCTCGGTGTATACTCCAGCAAAACCACTTAAAAGTGCCATCACCTGTTACAAAAACAAACATGGCAAGCTATAAAAGGGGGGAAATAACAAAAATAAACAAATCAGATTAAGACTTTCAAAATGTTTGAGAACTCACAATGGCCATCACCCAGCCTTGGAATGGAGTTTGGAGAACACTGTCAGATCTGCAAACAGAATGCCATTTTAACAAACTTATTGAACTAACTCAAGCAGAAACTTTTATAAAATAACAATTAAAAAGCGGTGAACAGTGTTCTCTACGCTCTGATTTTCATATATAACTAAGGAATCACAATATCGGCAGACGAGTTTAACTTTTTAACCTAGAGAAAATATGAAGGATATTTATGACTTGAGTTCCTCCATGAATTCAATAAAATTAACTCCCTATCATCCACATGAGATGCACCATGGATCAATCACATGATAGGATTTATTGAGATTGAAAAGCCAACTAACCAGTAACAGCAGTCTGCTGAGAGACAAACTCATCATAAATTAAATCAGATTACTGCATGGAAAAATATGGCAGTTAAGACACTTACTTTGGGTTCAGTTGTGCAGTAGTGCACCCTGCACATAGTATAATGAAAGCGGCCCATTGAATCTCACTTAACCTGCAGTAAATACAGGTAGAAACAAAAGCTCATAAGAACTGTATCTTCAGCCAACAGTATATAGCAGCACACAAACTAGGCAGCTTAGCTTAGTCATATTTACTTACTTTCTCTTGAGTATGATTCTGTATAAAATTCCAGTACTGATAATGTTGAAGTTCTTCAGTATTTGATAACCCGGAGCATCCACGTATGCAAAGATATAATACTGCCACATACAAATGAGCGCTGGATGAAATCACACTTCAGAAAGTAAAAAGACCTAACACACTGATGCAAAAGAAAACATACTACCGCAACCAACCTGAAGCAAATTCTTGATTAGGTAAAGAAATGCCGGAATGGGGTATACAATAACTTCATCCAGCTTTGCACTCAACCTAATTCAAAGACAGAATACAATCATGTAACTTTGGGTTTAAATCCCTTTACGCCGCCTATTACAGTCATTCATCAATACCCAAAACATTATACAATGAACAGAATCGAGTTCTCCCGTAACATCACTATAACTCAGCAACAATGCACAAGTTATACAAAAAGAAAAAACCTGTTATCTTCAGTAACACCTTCATTGCTCCAGATTCGTGCCAAAGCAGCAAGCGATATTGCACACTTCAAAGCCTCCACCTAATTCCCAAAACACAACCCATTTCAAGTCAAGCGAAAAGCCACATTACAAAGCATAAATTCCTAAACTTTAATGTAAATTGTAGCTTCATCTGCCTCAGTACTCACCGAGAAATTTGCAGTGGTGACACTGTATTCATACTTCCCAGCCCGCTTCGACCACACAATCAATATTGCTTGTGAACTCGTGAAAACGGTCAGAGCTATCGTAACAGCCGACCTATTCCAATCAACCCAATACCACTTATCAAATTAAATTAAATTAAATTAAAATACCAAAGATTTGAGTTAATTGGAAGAAATAGAAAGATTGGGCACACTTGAGCTTCCACTTGGTGAGATCCACTGGCTTGACCCGCAAGCTTTCGAGGTCTTGGGGGGCTGAAGATCCATCTTGATCCTGCAATTAGATCAAATTGGTAATGAAAAAAGGTTGAAAATTTGAGGATTATAGGAAGATATCTGGTCATTTATATGGAAATTACCTGATCTTTGAGCTTCCTGTACTCCATTGCTACGCTCTGTTTGGTTTTCTTTGTGTAAATTTTGGTGGTTTTCAGATCCCCACAGCCATTGGAGGACACTACAGACTGAGCCACAAGGAAGAAGAAAATCGACCGAGACGACGTCGTTTGAAGCTGTTCTTTCCTTTTTGGTCTGAACTCGCTAATGGACCACTTTTTCCTCTGGCCTGTTATTACTAGGTTATGCTAAAATCCATAATCTGAAAGAGCAAATGAAATGACCCAAGCCCAATAAGAAACAGAAATCGGTTATTTGGTTTCCGCGCACTCCTGTTAATTTATGAATTTTGATAATTCATAAATAAAGAAGAGTGCGTGAAGTGAAAATATGGGTGCGGAAATCGCTTACCTTTATCTAAGGAGGCTTCTATATGCATTCAGAACATGCTTGATGTTTTTAGAGTACATTTACCACATATTTGTACCATCATTTGTATCATTTCTTTAATAAAGATAGGGTCCACCGACATGTGCGGGTCTCATCTCTATTAGAGAGATGGTACTAATATGTGGTAAGAGTTGCACTTTTTATGTTATAATTGACTTGAATATGATAACTTAATATAGTCTCGTCTGGTAGAGGGTTGGACTGGAATGAATAATCTTCCAAATGAAGGATAACTATATTTGGATGAACTCTAAGTACTCATGAATCTTACAATAGGAAAAAGATTGATGCTAGTGAATCTTCTCCTAGGGGCCGGCCTACATAGAGAGAAAGATAAATGTTAATAACCTTAAAGTTTACCTTTTCGGTTCTTATTTTCATCTTACAATGCTGAATGATGATCTAAATCATCTATTTTGTAAAATTAAACAATTTCAATCATCGCGCAATTGTATAACGAAAATGAGAGTCGAAAAGGTAGAGCAGAAGGTAAGTAGCATCCCCTTTGAAAGTCCCATTTATTAAAGTATACTAAACAAATGTCAAATTGCACGCTAATTAGAAAATAGCAATTCGGTGTGAACATAAAGATTTCTTTTGGGGACCCGAAAGAGAGAGGTGAGAGATACTCAGAGACATAGGACATAGCAGAAATTAGGGAGGAAGAAGAAAACTTATAGCTCATTGTTTAATTTTCACATAGTTTTCAGTAGTTTAAAGGGCTCTTTTAAAATGTGTTAATGTTTGTTGAAATTTACTTGTCACTTATCAAGAAACCAAAATGTGCATAAAACACGTGTTTTGTATCCTTTTCAATTTCTACAATTTGTGATCACAAAACAAAATCTTATATGTTACATCTTTTAATTTCTTCATTTACATTTCACTCTCATCCAACAATTAACAACACAAATTCTACACTTTCATTATTCTTTGTCTCATATGTATGTATTAAATTTTTCAATCGACTTTCATGTTACCAAAATGTTAATGTAATAGTATATCAGGTTTATTATATATTGGTAACAATACGTGATTGACTTGAAATACTGATACAATGAAATTCTCAATGTACGTAAATGCATGTAACTATATGAAATTTGACTATGTAAATAGAAGGTCAGACTAAGAACTAAAGGAAAGACATTTAACATTATAAATTTATAAGTTTTCATTTACTTGACACAATGATTAATTTGAAAATCAAACGATTACAAAAGGGTTTACTTGAACACAACACGATTATAAATGAGTCAGTCAACTACAAAACCTATTAACACAAACTATCAACCGTAATTTAGATATAAACTTTGAATACATGCAATCTTTCTTAAATCACAATGTCAACCTTTGTCATGTTTTTATACCATGTGTCGTGTTAGTAAGACGCGTTACTACTTATTAAATAAATAGGTTTAAGTTCATGTGGTCCAATGTCTTAGTGGATATGATGTTGAGTTTTTATTCATATATCCCGGGTTTGAAACATTCCTCATTATTGTAATAGTTTTGAATCGTACCCCTCCCCTTAATAATAATAAAATTAAAAAAAAATTAAATAAACATGTTTAAATCAGTAACTAAACAACATTGCAAGCAATGTTAAAATACAGAGGGAATTAATGGGAGAATGACTCATGTAATTTGCAAGCAGCAGATCCAGACTTTACAACCGACAACTCAAAGGTGGTCCCTCCTCCTCCTCCCCACGTTTTAGGGACGAAAGTAATAAATTGCTAAAAACTGTGCCTTTTGCTACTGTAACTCCTAAGTTATTGTTTTATTCTCCTTTTTTTATTCTTTTTTTTTTTTTTTCTGTTTGTTTTTATGTCAACCAACCATTGCATGCCAAAATATTGGGTTATATTCTTTGTTCTAGTAACTTAAGATGTCGATGTATATTATGATATTTACAATGATGACTGCATCCTCATCACAATGATTGGGTAAGCAACAACCCATCCATCCTTTTTAACCCTAAAGCAACAAGAATTTTGACCTATAAAAAAAAAATCAAGAAATTGAAAGATGAAAAATGGTTGCTTAGTCATGCATGGTAAGAATGTGAGGATGGAAATTTAAGTAGAGTTGTTTGATAAAGACAATTCATGAGGTAGGATGAGATTAAAATACAAGAATCTGATCATTTTGTAACAGTTGTTGTAGAGATGATGTGATCCATTCTCGAACACAAAACATGTGACATGGCAAAACTTGGTATTACGAATTCACTTGAATTATATCACACGTTGGACTTATTGTGACTTAAGTAGACTTATGTAGTGGATTCTCACTTTTAATAGTGTGATCAAAAGATACAGATACTTTAATTAGGAATCGAATATAAATACGAGTAGTTGGTTGCTCCTAATTCTTGACAACCTGTAAACAAAATGTTTACTATATTTGCCAAAAACAAGTCTAAATTAAAGGAACAAGGCATGATTTCACCCTATTTAAGAACATTATTTTGGACTTAAACCCTAAATTAAGTCCTTAAATTATCAAGAAAAAAATATTAATAAATCTCCCAACAATGCTGAGAAACTCCCCCACACACCCTGTCCCCCATCACAGGGGGAGAAAGAAAAGGCTGTAAAATGCAGAGAGAAGAGAAGAAATCCAAATTGAAAAGAAACTCCATGGACCCACCACCCCCACCGTGGCCCCACACATCACGAATAAGAACAGCCTGTGAGATGGAGCTGTGAACGCTATATTTCACCACCCCACACACACCACCTTCAAAATAACACACAAACAAAACCCCCCACAGACCACATTTCCTCCTCCTCTGGTTTTCTCCATTTTCTCAGAGCTCGAATTCTCAGAAAAATGCCCCCAAATCATTCACTTCCAGTTTCTCAGGAACAATTAACAGAGCAGCCCGGGCTGCGCAGGCGGCTGTCGTCTCTGTCCCTGAAGCTCCAGCCCATCTCTTCTCCTGCAACCTCATGGGCACTAAGCCGGTCGAAATCTGTTTCAGCCATGGGAGAGTACGCCGGAGGATCCATTAGAAAATGGTGGGTCCAGAGCTGGACATGGATCATGTCTAGAAAACCCATTTTTGCCCAGGATCTGGAGATGAACGAGGAAGAAACCAAAGTGCTTGGATCCGACAACAGAGGAAGCTGGAGGCATGTGTTCTACAAAGTCCGGTCGGAGCTCAAGAAACTCGTGGGCTCTGATGTCGGAAGCCTGCCACAAACTTACAGGTACAATTTTGACGATGGGAGGACCAAAACCAAGAAAGTTTACGGCTGAGATTTCATGGGTAAGTGTTGGTTTTTGAAATTAATCAAGAAAGTTGGGTCCTTTGTGGAATTAATAAGAGATTCGACGGTGCAAAAATTCGATAGCAGATCATCAAAAAGTACTACTTGCTAATGTTAATCTTTGTTGTTGTTCCAAACACGAAGATCATTTGTACCAATGTAATTAGACTATGTTGTTGTTTTTTGATGTTCTTATCTTTGTGTCATGTGGGATTGTTGTTATAGAGGGGTCGGGTTGAAAAATTAATGGTGGTCTGAGGGTTCTCTGCAATTTGTGGAAAGTTGAAGGAGTGGTTGGCAAAGGCAGAAGTGGTTTGATCCAACAATGGAGATTGCAGAGGTTGCTGCTTATCATCATAAAATTAGAGAGCATTTTATTGATTAGTAAATGCTAAATATCATGTTATTATTTTATTTATTTTTATTTACGAAGCAATTATTTTTGCGGATTCTCTCCTATTATTTGTAAGTGTTAATTTATGTGCTAGTTAATTTATAGTAAATGAATTATTCATAAATTAGCTGTTCCTTCTTCTTCTTCCTCCTTGAGATCTTGCTTAATTCAATCATTATCTCTTAATCTTGTGTATTAAGAAAGTTAGGATCTTGTGTGATGAAAAGTCAATTCCAATATTGGTAGATCTAAGACGTGGGATGCGTGCCTTTGGACTCAAGTTTGCTCTTTTTTTTTTTTTTTTTTTTTTTTAATGTAGAGAATCTCTACAGTCCAGTCCTTCATAGGATACAATATCTTAAAATAAATTCGAAACCACTCATATTACAGATGTCTCTGCATTTGTAATGATCGAAATTTAAAACGTCTAAGTTTACACCTTGTTTCTGTTTCTTTTATCAATGGACCACCTTTTTTAAGATTCTCTTTTGTTTCTTTGGTAACTGGTCAGAATAAATTCCGAAAACAAAGCAATATGGCCAGGATGGGCACTGCCAATGGACGATTAGGTAATGAAACAAACGTACGCGTTTTATAAAAGAACCAAATGTCGTTATATGCTCATATAATTGTTGCTAGCAGAACGTACTGACAAATTATAAAGCATTCTTAAAATGTTGAACCGACGCGGTGCATTATTTGGTATGAATGCAAGCGAGCGTGATGGAAACCAAGTTTTCCAGACAAAGATTACCCCATGAAGACTCGCCTCCTGTCCTGGAATTCGTATCTGATTTTGCATGGTGGGGTTCGCATGTTTTGTAAGAATTAAATTCCTTTGGATTTTTGAGAAAAATAACAATAATTGAAGACAAGCCAGTTCCCACAACCGAGTAGGAAAGTGTCGGTGTATGTTCTGTTGCTTATTCTTTTTTTATAACACGTAAAAAAAGTAAGAAACTACTGATTAGTTATTAGTGTAAATAAACTTATTAATTATTTAATTTTGGAATTTTGAGTTTGTGACCAAATCCTGGATCACCGACTAAATAGTTGACAATTATTGGAGGGTCAATTGGTAATGGCTGAGCTGCCAAATGCTAATTAATCATCAATTTTCAACCCTTTTACTACCAACTTTATTCTGACAATTAAGTTAATATTAGAAGCAAACCACAATTTCACCCACCCCTTTGGACACCCCCCCCCTCTCTCTCTCTCTCTCTCTCTCTCTCTCTCTCTCTCTCCCCGTTCAACTGCAATTTCATGCTCCTCTCTCTCAAGTTCCTTCAAATATATCCATGGCCGGCCTTAAAGCATCTACAAATTGAAAAGAGAACCGGTGGGAGAAGTTGGGAAGGAGGACGCCAAGCCGCCCAAGCGAAAGGGTGGTCATGGTGTTAACCCTAAAAATTACCAAGCATATGTAGCACGCAGACTGAGTAACTAAGAGCTAATTACGTTCTTTTTGCAGTTGGTGCGGAAGTGTCAACTCGTCACCGAGTTGAAATAGGCAAGTAATATGTATATAGTGATGATGTCGAATCGTGCTATTGACTTTTGGGTTGAGGGACTACGACTAAAGAAGGAACATTCCCGGCCTAGGGTTCTTAGAACTTAAAGATAAGGTTGCTAGTCTCACTATGAAGTTCAAAATCCTTTGCACCCGGTTTGTTGGCTTCAACTATATTCATGAAAATATAAGTGTGTCAAACCGAATTAGATTGTAGGACAAAGGTACCCAAAAAAATGAGTGACTTTAAGATGAAAGTCGTTTAGCCTAATGAATGCCGAATCTTGAAATACCTCGGAGTAACCAATCATAGAACAACTCACTTCACTGGGAAGTTGATAAGGTGACCTCTTTTGGTGAGAAAAATTAGAAATTCTTCGCTAGCTGAGACTTGGATAGATAACAAACGAAGATAAGATAGTGTTGTTTAACCAAACTAAAGGTCTCCTATGCTAGGCAAGTTCTACAGTTCCATTGTTGTTTAAGCCAAACTAAAGGTGTCGCTGGGTGTTGAGTATAGTGATGTTTAACCAAACTGAATATATGTTAACGGGAAGAGGTTAGTGAGCAGTTAGTGTTTTCTCAAGGTGCAAGAGGGTTTTAATCATAAGGATCCCTTCGAAGTCCCTCGATCATAAGGACTAGATTTGGGCTGCCCCTGAACACCATATGCTTATGGAACTAACGTTGAATCGAGAATCAAAATTTCTCCAGTTCAGATTACCCATTCCCAGGCCTAACTTATATTTTGGGCCCAAATGCATGGTTTGTGGTTGTTAGGTTTATTTTCACTATTTGCTTCTTTTTTTTCTTTTCTTTTTTTTTTGGTGGGTGCACCGGATTTGTACGAGGCTAAAATAAAAACTTTATTTATAGGGTAAGCTTAGATGTGTAGTGGAGTTTAAGTAGAAAAATTCCAATTAATATTAGAAAAATTCAACTAATCTTAATTAAAATTAACTTAATTGCCAGGATAATTTTGACTTGAACCTTATATAATATATACCAGAAATACCAATAAACCATGGTAATAGAGTCACAAGATAAGTAAGGGTATGCTTGTAACAAATTTTAGAATGAATAATTTGTTACAATAAAACGCTTCTTATTACACCATAAAATTGCCAATGAGTTTTAAAAACACTTGTTATGTAGAAAGCAAAGCACTTCCAACTGCAACTCTCATAAAAATTTTACTAAAAGTTTCTACTTAATTATTGTAAAGACACATCTTAGTAGAAGCATCTTTCTCTTATTGGAATGACCGAATGAGGTGAGCACTTCTATTAGAAGGTGCGAATAATGGAAAAGAAGAACTTGAGAAAAACAAAATTACTAAATCAGCGGAGACAAAAAGATGGTTGATAGGCAAACAGCTCGTTAAATTTTGCAGTGCGTACGTACGGTGGCATTTGATGTGTCTCACGAGGAGACGAGTTTTTCCACGTTAGGCATGTACACCATCGAGATCAGATCTTCTGCACCTAAATGGGTGTGACTTCTCATTATCTTGAATTATTGTTTGACATATATTAAGTTTATGATAATAAAATTAAGAAAAATTAAGTTTAAGTTTATAAATACGTATTAGTCAATGATTAAGGCTACAGAGAGGTCACATTTATTTTAAGTGCAAAAGATTTGATCTATCACCCCCTCAACAAAACAAACAAAGCATGCACTTCAGTATGCACTACATAATCCAAGTAGCAAATTAAAATAATAATTATTAGCACTCTATAGATTTAGTTAGTACGCTTTTTATAAAAATATTTTTCCTTCTAAATAGAAAAAATTTGAAGAACACGATTAAATTTTTAGAATGTTTATAAAAATTTCCTACGTTAATTTGCGCATTTTTTTTTATCATTTAGAAAGGAAATTGTTATAAGTTATAACACTTTAAAAATCTTATTGGACACTCCTTACAAGTGCATTTTTTTTAAATATATAATTTTTAGAGTGCCAATAATAAATTTATTTTAAGAAAATTCTGTTAAATCATATGACACATCCCGACCGGAATCAAGGCATGATGGCCGTCATGTGAAGGTGACATAACCACAAGTGCAAGTGATGAAAGAAAATTGTGGATAAATTAAAACCGAAACTAGAATTTAATTAACAAATAAAGTAAATGCATAGTAGTGGTTACAATCCATAACTACAAAGATTCAGAGCATAGATAACATAAGGGTAAAGCAGTCGAATGAGAGAAGTACTTATAACACAACTAGAGATAAGTTCCTATGTTAAGATAGAGATATGTCAAAATTACCAGTTATTCATCGTACGCCACAGAGATAAATCAGCTAACTAGAACTTGAAGGGGCGAAAAACAGAAGCATAAGTGGGTACAAAAATAAAGGTTTATAAAATCCATTTAGTTGTCAATCATACTAACCCCTCACTGTAAAACAAGTATAGTTTTCAGAAAATCATACTACGTATAAGTATGAAATCAAATGCATGCCAACAATAAATTCAGAAAGATGCCACAGTAGGATATCTCAACGACAATATGAATATAATCATGTACTCAACAAGTTATACTAGCACGCAAGTTGGAGTCACCTAATGTGACTTGTACGACTGCACCTATTGCTCATCCATCTAGGCTAACACACAAGTCGAAGTCACCTACATGACCTGTAAGACAAGACTAGGTGTAATAATATACGCTCTGGTGCTACAATCACGTGAAGACTAGCGCTATGCATGTCACCTACAAGTTGAAGTTGCCTAATGCGACATGTACAACAGGACTAGCACCTACTTGGATCTAAGGTAAGCGTGGGGTGTGAGGCGAACATCATGTGAAGGACTAGCCCTGGCCCGAGGCGAGCACTAACACCTGTGCAGCAATGATGAGCGAACTATATGAATATGAGCATGCCATAACTCAAACATTCTAAACAACATAACAAATTCACATGTACTTACCTGTGCGTCCCATAGAATTACATAGCATTATACAATAGCATAATATTTACCAGTATGTAAAATGCATATGAATATGCCATGATCAAATATATAAATCTCAACCACATAACAGCATTTTTTAAAATTATATAACTCATGACATAATATGCATAAAACAATTTAAAAGCAATTGTGGAAACTTTTAAGTTTATACACACACACACACACACACACGAAAACAAAATGCCCACTCATTGGTATGTCGTAGGATTGTAGCCCACTAGTCTTGCTTGTCCACTTACGTCCTCAGGGTATGTTTCCCCTATATGCGAAACAACTACTTATAATTAATTGATATGACATATATGGAAAAACTAGGAAAAACATCCCATAACTTGCTCAAACGGAAGGTTGAATATATGAAAATGTTCTACTCGAAGTCATGGACATGCACGTAAAAACCACTCGTCGGTCGGAGGCCGAAAGCGACCTCACGAGCTGTCCAACCCACGGCCATACACGCGACTATGTGCAGGCACGCGTCTGATAACGACAATTAGGAATATTCCGCTAAACTGACGGAATATTCCATTAAAATTTAACGGCATTACCTGATGCCGTTAGAATATTTCATCAACTTTGACGGAATATTCCTTGTCTTCTCGGGTGAGCCTCACTGTCTGGTTTCGCTGGAAACTA